TATATATTTGTATATATATACATATATTATATCTGTGTGTGTGTGTGCGTGAATGATTACTCTGCATCGTACACGGCTTAGAGACTGTTGAGAATTTCTAAATGGAAAAGAAATCACGTGAAGTAGTGCTTGATGAAACCCAAGTGGACCATTAGATTATCTTTTTAAGTTATAAGAAGAGACAATTTGCCTTTTCAGGGACACTTGAATACACAAGGGCCTTGAACATCTAGCTCTCACTGGTAAAGTTGAAGGCAAACGATGCAGAGGTAGATCCAGAGCAATATACTTTGAAAGACTAAACAGATGTGTAAAAGGGAAAGATCAAGCTTTTACGGCTTTTTAAATATTTTTAGATCATTTGAGCAAAATAAGAATTTTTTTAAAAAGAAGAAAAAAAAAAGAATGGTAAACCACAATCGCTGGTGCCAGTTTCAGATCTGGCACATGATGATGGTGATGACGACGACAAAAATCTCATAGGAATTAGGTGTTATATAAATTCACATTACAAACATTGTTATTGTTATCATACCGACTGTTTCATCATTTTGCAAGGGTCTGTCATAACACAGTATCTATAACAATATATCCTGAAAAGAATTCTAGATTAATTGAAGAGCACAGCCATGTTGAAAAAGAGAACGATGAAGAAGAATCACTCTATCCACTTTCACGCCCGCGACAGCGAACTGCGATAAATGTAAACACATTTCTTTTAGACTTACATCTACTATAATAAAAACTGTTAAAACGGTCTGTGCATTCTTTCTTGATTTAGAAGTGGCTACCTTCATCACCAGTGAGTTTATTCCAAAGGTCACATTTCTAATCTAATTGTTGCGTGGTCTTCTACTTTAATTCTCTCCCCTCAGTTGCTGGTTGTTTTGAGTTATGTTAAAAGTTTCTCCATCACCATTGCAAATATTGTCATAACAAAGACCACCGTTTTTGTTTCCTTTTTGATATTACTATTATAAACAAGTTGGTCAACCTACCTCTGGAGTTTAGCGGTTAAGCGCTTCGCCGCCGTTAACAGAAAACCTGAGTTCGATTTCCATTAAATTATATCTCGGTCGTTCTGCTAGTGTATCCCTGTCAGAATAAATTGCTCCAGGCTGTTGAGGTAATAGCCGGCCTCCTAAATGGTATAAACTATGTCATTGGTGGCGTAAAACGCCTACATGCACCTTCATGAAAATAACAGTTGGCAAGACAACACTCATTTATGTAGTCAACTATTTCGCGAAAGGAGAAGGAATGCAGGAAGATTTGAGGGTGGAAAAAGGGATTGGGGGGGGGGGGGGGGAAA